CTCACCCCTGATGTGTCCTGCCCTGGAAGGGCCACTGCCTCCCACGTTCTGTCTGCTGTTTTGTTTTTGGTTGATCCGGGTAAGAGGGTATAACTAGCTCCTGTCACCCCACCTCAGTGGTCAAATGGCAATTTATGTTCCTATGTCCCTTCCCTCTGGGCACTACTGCTATTATCCCCAAATGCAGGCGACTTAAACTTCCTAAGTGGGCACATTCTCACGTCCTCAAGCGTCACTTACTACATGTCTGCCGAAGGCGGTCGGCTCCAAGGCCCTCCTCGCGGCTCGCGTTCTGCTCCCTGCTGACGCGGTAAAGGGACTCAACAGAGTCCTGGCCTGCTGCTTACCATGAGCTCGGATGTTCTTTGGGGGAAATTCAGCACACACTGTAAGTTACCCACATGAACTAAACAAAAAGGAAAAGGCTAACAGGAGCGTGGAAGCAGGGATCTGGTAGGCAGAGATTCCATTCAGGCCCTTTCATTACTGAAGCAGAACCCAGGAAATGAAGAAAGCAGGTCAGGGCTGCGGAGCACTTCTGTTTTTGCTGCAGAGATTCTCTGTACCAGAAAAGCCTCCTTGACCCCCTGGACACCCTGCAGACTGCAGTCACGCCTGCTGCTGGGGCTCCCGGAGCAGCCCTGGAGACGCCTCCATGCTCGCTGCCAAGCAGCCCAGCAGGGCCCCCAGGTACAGGGAGAGCGGCCAGCCCACCAGCCGGGCTGTGTTCACGCTCCTCCTTGGAAGGTGCAGAGAACAGGCTTGCTCCGAGCCAGCTGGCTGCCACCCATAAGCAAGCCCAGTAAGTCAGCCAGGCCTCCTCGCTTCTGTTCTATGTGGCTGTGCGGTCCCCAGCCCCGTCGCTGGTGCAGGCAAAGGCAGCTGGCACAAACAAACAGCTCCTCAGTCCTGCCCTTGACATGCTGTTGCCAAAATTCAGCTTAAAGGAATAAAAGGCAAACACAAACTTCAGCTCCTACTGGAGAAGTTGTTTAAGCTACAAGAAACCGAAGGGAACGAGCGGCACATCGGCTGTAATTCACGCACACATTCTGGCTGTCAAACTGTGGGAAAGAGTCCCCCTGGAGAAGAGGCAAGCTCTTTAAGACATCTGTCTGCTCATCTCTGAAAACTCGGCTTCCACACTTGCTACTCTAGAGGGGCTGGGCCGTCAGGAGCGCCGGGCTGGTGACGTCCTTCATGGTCAGGAACTTGGCTTCTGGCTGGGTGGCAGGACAGGCCGCAAGAGAGCTTCTTTGCTCAATTCCCAGCCACCAGAGCAGGGGCTCCTCAGCCTCTGTGTGTGTGTGTGACAGACCCCTCTGCCAGCCTGCCCGTTCTCAGAGCCGTGTTCCGCGTGCAGATAATTAAATACATAATAGCATGAAGGAAATCGACGGGTCCTCAACCACTGTGGTCCAACTTAAGATTTCTTAGCTTTACAGTGGTGCGAAAGCAGACCCACACCGCCACTCTCTTACTTTCAGTACAGAATTCAGCAAATTACATAAACTATTTCACCATCTATATGAAACTGGATGATCCTGCCCCTGCCCCCCTGCAGGCTAATAGGGGTACACTCAAGGCAGGCTTGGCTTAGCTCGGAGGTTTGATAGGTACATTTTGGACCTCAAAGATTTTTAGCTTACAATTTTTTGCACATAGTAGTACTGCAAGGTGAGAAAGAACTTTATAGTTAACGGACTAACAATTTGAAATATAATAAAAAATTTGCTTCTTTATCAATGCACGCGTGCATCTGCCACTTGGCGAGTCTATTAAGTGATACGCAATGGTTTCCTTGGCTGATGACATCACTGGTGCTTTGCTGTCTATGTTCATAACTGAAAGGAACACCAAATTTCAGCCACAGGCTAATGTAAAGGAAAATGCAGTGTTGGCCTCATCTAAGATTATAGACCCCCTGGACTCTGGCCCTGGACCCTGGGACTCTTAGATTAAGAAGACATTTCTTTTTCTGTCCTATTGGGAAAGGATACTGCCTCAGCTGACAAAGGGGTTGAATTTCCATCCTCTCAGACCTAAGGAGAAAATGGGTGCTGTCTTGCCTGAGGCCTCCGCCAGGCTCTTCTGTCAGCAGTGTCCTTCCTGGTCTCCATCACTTGGGCTGGCCATAGTTGGTCTTTTAGGGTACAACAGATTGCACCCCCTTTGGGAGGTCTCCTTAGCTCTCACGTGCCAAGGCATAGGGAGGACTCTATCCCTGAGTATCCTGTAGCCACCCTATCATCGATCTTCTCAACTCCTGTGGTGTAAGGACCTGCCCATGTCATTTGTCCCTGCCCCTTGCACAAGTGCGAGGTCCTCTGAGGCAGCAGCAGGGACCACAGTGACCCTGTGAGG